CAATTAACCACTAGGAAGAATGTATGTAATGTATTAATTATTGAAACTTTCCTACCAATTTGGTTTGAAACTGCCTCAGTGCTATTTGTTTCTCAATAAAATTATGGAAAAAAATAATAAAAAGAGCTATAGAAGATGTTGCAAAAAATAATAATTTGACATCTTTAATCAAATCTTGGAAAAGCTCTTTCTCTGTTGCTTACCACTCTACCATATTCCCAGAAGTTCATGATAAAATCATATTTTAGATCATCAATTTTTTTTTTTTTTTGGTACCAGAAATCAAACTCAGGACCTTGCAATTACTAGGGAGCCTTGTGCAGCTGAGTAAAATCTCAATTTAAGCATGAGTATACAATTGAATTTTCAAATGACTCTTATAATTTTCTTCCTAAAGGAATATGACTAAGACTAATGTTCATTGTCTTAAATGTCTAAAAACATCATTTCTTCACTCTCACATTTGATTAATGTACTCACCAGTCTCTATTTTATTATTCTGAGATGGGGATGGCCGATGTACTTCTTATGGCTATTGTGAAGCGTATGTTAAATAAGAATTTGCACCTACCACAAATTAATAGGACCCTGAAGACCCTGAACTAAATACATAAAAAAGGTTGATCAGAGTCAATGAAAAAGCAGAAGATGAATGCTCCGTGTTGATGTCCAGGTTTAGGACTTTGAAGGTAGAGTCCTCGACATTTCTTATCCAATACTGTGAGTAAAATCATCTGATACCAATCCAATTTTCATTATTTATAAGAATTTTTTATTTTTTCCCCAGAAGTCTTGAAGATTGTGTCTCCTCGATGCCCTGAAATTGCATGAAGACATGCAGTATGTGCTGACTGTTCCCTCCAAATTCATAGATTGAAATCCTATCTCGCTGTGATGTTATCTGGACATGGGGCTTTGAGAGGCACTTGTTGTGGAAGTGGAGACCTTGTGGTAGGATTCATTCTCTTAAAGAGACAAAAGAAAACTTTTCTTCTCTCTGTCTCTCTGTCTCTCTGTCTCTCTCTCTCTCTCTCTCTCTCTCTCTCTCTCTCTCTGCCCTCTGCCATGTGAAGCAACAAGAAGTCAATCTTTGACTCTTCCCTAAAATACAAAAAAAAAAAAAAAAAGTCAATCTTTTATGAAGAGGAGTAGGGCTCCCAGCAAGAATCTGATCACACTGGCACTATGATTGCAGACTTGTAGCCTCCAGACCATGGGCAATAAATCTCTGTCATGCGAGGCACCTCTTCTTGCAGTTCTCTGTTATAGTAGCCTGAGTGACTAAGGCAATTTTTTTTTGTTTTTTTTTGTTTTTGTTTTTGCGGAACCAGGGATTGAACTCAGGCCCTTGCGATTGCCAGGCAAGTGCTCATTCTACTGAGCCATCTCCCTGGCCCCAGCAATCATTATTTTGAATCTGAAATCATCCTACTGATTATTCTGCCTGTGATTAGGATAGGGTTCCTCACCAGAGTTGCTTTAATCTCCTCCCCTTCTCAGAAGCAATCTTTGGATACTAATCGTCAAGACTGCCTTCTCACTCGCTTCCACTCTGCCATTCCTATTTTAAGTAACTCTTTGACAGACAGGATGTTACACCAGAAAGAGAACCAGTTTTTCAAGTTATGGCATCCACAACTGTACACCTCTCCTTATCTACAAATTGAGTGTTTTTGATTGTCAGCTCCTGTAGCAGCCCTCCCGGGGTATTTCTTCTGTTCTCCTACCTAGCCAAGGGTCCCGCAAGGAGAAAAGGCACAACCCCAAGTGTTTCTGATTCCTTCCCTTTGCCCGCTCAAGTGTCAAGAGAAAGGCCTCACTTAGGACTAACAAGAAAGCAGAATGGTATGTGGATGTCTACATGGGCTCTGGTGTCCATCAAATTAGCCTCTGTCTAAGCTACTTCCTCACTGTGTGATCTTGGAAAACAGCCACTCACCAGGCTCTATTTTATTATTCTGAGTTGGGGATGGTCACTGCATTTCTTATGGTTGTTGTGAAGCATATGTTAAATAAGAATTTGCACCTCCCACAAATTAAAAGAGTTATTAAAAGAGTTTATTATTATTAAAAGAGGAACATGTATAAAATGATAGGAACTGTGGTGTGTGTGTGTGTGTGTGTGTGTGTGTGCGTGTGTGCATGCATGTATGTGAAATATTATTAAATAACTGCTTCCCAAAGGAAGGTACATATAAAACGAAAGCCTATGAAGAAGGCTCAAAGAGGTAGAAGCTTAAATATAGCAGTTTTAAAGTGGAGAAGCTAATTGGATTAGTTTCCAAAAACATGAAGAAAGATTGAAAAGTTCCAAAATAGCTGTAAATAGACAACTGAACCATGTACAGGCTAAGAAGCAGAAGCTATTGTCTGGGCCAAGTATGAGCAGGTGGTGTCCTCAAGGTTATGTGGACTCTCACTGGGACTGAAAACAGTGAAAGAGAAAGTTAGGGAGAAAAGCTGTGGGAAGAAAGTGACCCAAGAAGGTAATAAAGACTACTATGCTGAGAACAGCTATGTCAAGAAACTTAGCACTTTTGTGTGTGTTCATGACTATGTAGAAGCTTTGTAAATTATTATTTTATTTTATTTATTTATTTTAATCTATTAAATACAGGGTCTACAGGATCTCACTACACAGATCGGACTCGTAATGATCCTCCTGTTTTTCAGCCTCCCAAGCATTGGGATTACAGGCATGTGCCACCATGACCCTCCCAATTTCCCTCTCAGTGCACCCTAGGGGTAGGGGTGGCACAGTACACCAGGGATTGAACCCTGGTCCCTGCATCTGCCTAAGCAGGTGCTTTAATCCACTGAGCTATCTGGCTGGCCCGGAACTTTAAAAATCATTTTAGGTCAGACTAGATAGCTCAGCGGATTAAGGCGCCTGCATAAGCAAGTGCAGGGACTGGAGTGTCATCACTGGCACCACATGCTGCAGCAGCCCAGCCCCTGGGTGCACTGAGCTGGCCACCTAGACAGGGATTGGTGGTGCATGTCTGTAATCCCAGTGCTAGGGAGGCTGAAAACAGAAGAATCACTACAAATCCAAGCTGCATGGTTTGTATAAAAAAATACAAAGGGACAAAGTTTGTATTAAAAAATAATACAGATGAATTCATTACATATATTCACTTAGCTTTAAGAACTGTCAACTCATATCCAGGGTTAGTAATTGGCCAATATTTGGTCTTTTATGACTGACTTGTTTTGCTTAGTTTAATGTTTGTAAGACTCACCATGCAGAATCTATAAATATTTTATTCCTTTGTAACTGGTGAATAGTATTCCATTATTTGAATATATTACTATGTATAAATCTATTCACTGTTGATGGATCTTTAGCATGTATCTAGTTTCAAGCTATTAGGAATGATGCTGATATGCATATTTGTGTACAAATGTTTTGTGTGGGTATACATCTTCATTTCTCTTGGATGGATTTTCTTGGTATGCTTATACTGAAATTTGTTACAAGTTGTCAAGGTGTTTTCCAGTGTGACCCTGCTATTTTATGTCTCCACCAGCCGTATAAGAAGTGTTATGCTTTAGAACTATGTCTCCTTAAATTCTCATGTGCCCAGGTGGGAGGCTTTTGGAAGGTGATTGGCCCATGGAGGCTCTATGGCTGACTGGCTGTTAGGGAGGGCCTGGGCAGAAGAGGCAGCCTCTCCTGGAGGAGGCTCCTCCTTCTCTCTGCTTCCTTGATGCCAGGACGCGGCAGATTCCTCTTCCCAGCCCCTCCCACCATGCTCCTCCTGCAGTGGAGCCAACCAGCCACGCTAGGACTTGAAGTCTTCAGCTGAAATATTCTTCTCTTTCTTTAAGTTGTTTGTGTCAGCCATTGTGTCTTGGCAAATAGAAAATGACTGAGACATGTAGACGCTTCCAGTTTCCCTATATGTTTGCTGTTGTCTCTTTCTTATTAAAGCCATCCTACTGAATGTGAAATAGTGTCTCAGTGTGGTTTTAATTTCCATATCCATAATGATTGATGATGACATTTTTTCACATGATCGTTAGCTCTTCCTATATCTTCTTTCATGAAATATCTGTCCAAGAATTTTGGTCACTTGTTAATTGGGTTGTCTTCTTCTTTTTATTTATTTATTTATTTTTAATTTTAGGGAAGGGTCTACAGGGTGTTCAGGGTCTCATTACTAGATGGGACTCATAGTGATTTGCCTGTTTACAGCCTCCCAAGAGCTGGGATCACAGGTGTGTGCCCCCATGACCAGTCTCAATTGCCATCTCAGGGTGCCCCGGGGGTGGGGCCAGCACCACAGGCCAGGGCTTGCAGGCGCTTTAATCCTCTGAGCTATTTGGCCAGCCCTTGTCTTCTCTTTATTGAGTTGTAAATGTTATTTGTGTGTTCTGCCTACAAGTTCTTTATCACCTATATAACTTCAAGTACTTTCTCCCAGTCTGTGGCTTGTCTTTTCATTTTATTCATAGTGTCTTTCAAAGTACAAAACTTTTGAATATAATAAACATTAATTTTTCATAGTTTTCTTTTTTTGGATCGCATTTTCAGTAACTGTATCTAGGCACCTTTACCTAAAGCAACATCATAAAGATTTCCTCCTATATTTTCTTGTAAAAGTTTTGTTTTTCTTCCTTTAGTGCTGAAGATTGAACTCAGAGCCCTGTGTGTACTGGGCAAGCAGTCTACCACTGAGACACACTCGCTGTCCTCTCTCAGAAGTTGTGCTTTTAGCCTTCTCATTTGTATCCACGACCCTTTGCATACAGTAAAGAAAATAATCTAAAACTCATTTTTGTTCACATATAGGTAAGCCATTTGCAGAAAATGCCATGGAGATGTTTTGACACTTGGTTAAAACTCAAGTAACTACAAATGCCATCATAATAAATGTTTATTTCTAGGCCCAATAGAATTCTACTGATTGATTCATCTGTCTTCATGTAAATCCACGTGGTCTCCATTCATGACTTCATAGTAATTTTTGCAATTGTGCAACCGAACTTCTTTCTTTGTACTCACTTCCACAGCACATAAACTGAAATTGGAACAGCGCAGAGATTTGCACGGCCCCTGCACAAGGGTGACACACAAACTCATGAAGCATTCCATAGTTAAATTTTTTTCTTCTTTTTTTCATTCCCCCCCCCCTTTCTCACTTCTTAATTTCTTATAACTTTTTTCTTTCTTTTTCCAATTTTGCATTCATGTATCTGGTAATCTGAAGAAGTAAGTTGAAGACAACACCATGCAATACAGCAAATACTGATTATTTTGTTTAGTAAAATTCTGCATCACTTCTAATTTTTTATTACTATTTTATATTCTCTGTAAAAAATTATCTTCCTTTTATTTCATGAAAAAGTAGAACAAATTTACATAACCAAATAATAAGAAAATAACAATGGTTGCTACATGATGTGTTATTTTCAAAGTACTTACTTAGTACAAGACATAAACCAAAAAGATTCTCAACAAAAAATATTCAAAAAAGAAATGAACAGATAATAACACAAATATTTCTTTTTGTAAACTAGTAGTATACGTGAAACCAATTAATGTATGTATTGAGGTATCTGAACTTACCCTATTTCCTTTTACCTCTTATTTTATTCTTTTTGTTTCTCATGAAAGAAACCATGTGATGCTTGAGTTTGTGCACCCAGCTTACTTTGTTAAGCATTATTTCCTCAACTTGCATGTATTCATATAGAATGCCACGTTTATATGTCTTTGTGGAAGAGTAGTAGTCCATTGTGTATAAATCCTATGTTTTCCCTATCCCTTCATTTGCTGATGGACATATGCTCTATTTCCCAGACCTAGCTAGTTTAAATTAGGCTGTTATCAACATGCATTTGCAAATATCCCTGAAGTGACATGATTTGAACTCCCCTGGGAATATTTCTGGTTTATGTCTTACACACTGAATAGCCACTTTGAAGAGGATGATACACAACGTAGTAATTATTATCACTCCCTTATAATTTGATTATCAAATTCTGTTTTACTTTTTCATAAAATAAAAAAGAAACAGATATTATCTCTTTTCAATGAACTAAAGATTGATAGTATAATGAAACAGATTAGCATGTATATTGAAATATCTTCAAAACAATGGAATATGAAGTTTGAGCTGCTCCCTAATTTCTTTAGCATTGTTTTCCTTTGCTAAAAGTTCTGTGAGAAAGTGCTGATTTATATTTCCATTTCAACTTTTAAAATTGATTATTTAATCACAACACATCAGTCAATTCCAGTGTTCCACACCTGCAATTGCAGCGTTTGGAAGTTTGTGGCAGGAGGATCATGAGTTCAAGGCCAACCTGGCCAAGATAGTGAGACTCTGTCTCCAACAACACAAAAGCATAACTCCATAATGCAGTCAAGCTTCAGTGAGGGTTAATTTTCCCAGCATAGAGATATTTATCTCTTCACCCATCCAGTCTCTAGCAGGCACCTCTGCCACAACAAGCACTGTATTGAGCACAGTTGAGAGTCAGTCTGTGACTTCATGCAATTCCTGGTCTCAGGCAGAGATGCACAGGTCTTCAATGATGCCATGCTCAGTTAGACCCAAGGGATACAGAGATTACACTATTAATGCAATGAACTCATGATTCTCCTGCCTCAAGGGATGGTCTTCTTACATCAGGAGGGATGCTGCAGCACAGCAGTTCATTTTGCTGGATGAGGTCCCAGAAGATTCTGGGGGGTGACAATTGAGAGATGCCCTGAAAAATAGGTAGTTTAACCCCAAATGAGCTGCAGAATCTCATTTGGGGAGGCAAGAGCTGTAGAAAGGCAAAATAGGGTCTGAGGACAGATCCAAGAGAGATGATTGAGGGGAGAGGTGAGTGCAGGACATGAGATCTGAAATACAGGGCATGCACCTTACACTCGGGAGCCTCAGGTCTGGAACTGGGCTGCAAGGGGAGCAGAGGCCTAAGGAGGCACAAGGGAGGCTGGCCACTTTCCTGCTCTGAGCAAAGGACACACCGGCTTTCTTTCTCACCATGTTTCCTCCTCCCAAAGAACTTTCTCCTGTGGCTAGGAAGGTACAAGGAAAGGCAGTAAGCAGCCCACACAAATTCATTGCTCATCCCCGGAAATGACTAGAAGATACCCTGCCATATGAGTCACTGGGATCATCTTCCAACATAAAAGACAAACCGTTTTTATGATTGTTCTCCAGCCTGTATGTGGCAGGTCTCCTGCCTGACCACAGGTTATCTCTACACCAGCCTGGGAGTACCTAGGCCTGTTCTCTTCTTCCTTTTTAGTATCTCTTGGGCATTTTCAATACTTGCCTTTGATGCTAGTGCTTTTCTAACAACCACTGCTAGGGGTCAAAATAATCAAATACATGTGGTTTCTTGTTTTTGATACCTTTACTCTCAGCTGTTTAATACAGAATTGATGCTGCACATGAACTCTGGAGGCAGCCTCTGCGTGGAAGGAGCCTGGTGGGTTCTGTTTATGTTTCTGTAGGGTCAGCTTTCAGAACACAGCCAGCATCATGTCACACATTCCCATTGACAGGCTCCTGTCTAGTAAGCAGAGAGATCACTGCTTTTCACCCCAGCCTCCCAGGAGTCTCAGAGCATAGCACAGGCTTTACTTTGCTAAGAAAGACATGGACATCCTGGCACTGACATCCGGGTACCCCTGGATATGTAAAGGCGATGCAGGACTTCAGTGAAGGAAAGGAGTTAGGGCCAGAGACAGCCTTCAACCATTCATGTCACTTTTAACTCTCTTAAGGAGTTTAAGTTAGGGTATAATTGAGATTTTTTGACTTAAGGGCTCATGGAGTGTCAAGAGATGGGACACTTATACTCTCAGTACAGAACAAGCTAAAAAATGCAGGTGTACCACAAGTTCAAGTCCTGCCTGGGCAACTTAGTGAGACCCTGTCTGAAAATAAAAGGCTTGAAAATGCAGCTCAGTAGTAAAGTGCCCCTGGGTTTTATCCCCAGTGCCAAGCAAAAAAAGAAAAGTTACAACACGCACAATCAGTTGACCAACACAGAGCCATTACAGCCTCTGTCTCCCTTGAGTCACTTCCCATTAGAGGAGCTGAAAGTGAGATTTTAATTGCCCTCACTTCCTTTGGGATAGACCAAGTTCTTTTTTTTTTATTAGTGGGTTATCCTCAGAAATTATTGACTTGAGCTTTTTACAGCTCATCATATTAATATGGATTTACTTTATATACCTCATTTCTATACTTTTCTGCTGGATGGTTAAGACCAAGATATAGCAAGACCTATATACCCAGAAATGTAACTTTTGTATCTGATAAGGTCAGCCACGTACTCTCAGGATTTATCCTGTAGCCCTGTACTGCCCTTTGTACATCCTTTTGTCAGTGTCAGACATGAGGATGAGTCACAGCCATTGCTTGAGCAATTTGCTCTCTGTGAAAGCTTGAGAAAATGTATTTTCTCTCCATGTGACTCTCCCCAGGCTCACTTTACATCATTGACCACATTCCTCTGTGGCCCCATAATCTTCTTGATCAGAAAATTTGGAGCACAACTGAGCTACATGTTGTTACAGTACAGGTTCTCCTATGTCCCGAGTATTCACTGACCTTGAAAGGCTAGGGCCAAAATGTTGGCTGACCTTGCAGTCCTTCCTTTTCTCCAATTTTGAACTGTTAACTTAGGTTGTTAACCCTCCAGAAGAGAAGCTAATTATTAATCTGCAATATATGCAGTTCTGTTTACCCTATTTGTCTAAATATCAAACATTTTAGTATATCATGGAACAGGTATTTTCATCAGATATTGATATGTTGAACTTTAAGTCCTTATAGAATATGAAGGAAAAATAATTATATAAAAGTAGAAATAAGCATTTACATATTTTTACAAAGAAATTTAGAAACCTAACCATATACGGAATTGTCAGTCCTTATACTAGGGAGACAATACTATATTTACAGATGTGGGTCTGGTTTATTTCACTAAAAAGTATATCTTCAAGTGGCATCCACTTAAATATGAAGGCTTCAAGTTTATCATTCTTTATAGCTGAGTAGTACTCCATTATATAAAAGTACCACATCTTTTTCAACCATTCCACATGTGACAGGCATCTTGGTTTTTTCCAAGATCTGGCTATCACAAATTGTGCTGCTATAAACATAGGCACACATATATCACTAAGATATGATGCTTTCAGTTCCTCTGGGAAAATTCCCAGTAGGGGGATAGCAGGCTCGAATGGGATTTCCAGTCCAACTTTTCTAAGGAGTCTCCACACTGATTTCCATAATGGTTGCACCAGTCTACATTCCCACCAGCAGTGGAGAAGGGTTCCCCTTTCCCCACAGTCTCTTAGACCAAGTTCTGGCCAATAAAATATAATGGGATAGAATTTTCTGGGAAAAAATCCTTTACAGATGTAAGAAAAGAGGCATTTGAGGAAATATTCTTTGTTATTGTTAGCTTTTGGCCTTTATCAACTGTTTTCTGCTTTGGAATTCAATTTCAACGTCAGGAGCAGCAGCAGCCATTCTGCAATCATGAGCCCTGAAGCACAGTGATGGAGAACAAACAAATCAAGGTGGCAGAGAAAGGAATGTAGAAAGAGCCCAACTCCTTGAAGCCATCACTAAGCTCTTACCTGGACTTCTCTGTAGGTGAAATAACAAGTCCCTTTCATTGTTTAAGTCATTTAACCATGAGAAGAGCAGTTCTGCTGCTGCTTCATTAAAGCAATAACTCAAGAGACAGATTAATAGGTAAAGAAAGAGCTTTACTGGCAACAAGTAAGCAAGTGCTAAGTTTCACCTTAAATTCCTTTTTACCAGGTATCACGGGCAAGAAGCTTGTGTGGGGAATCTCATCTTGGCCACAGCCACTGGAATGGTCATCAGTTCTGCTGGTGTAGTTTCTGTGTTATCCTCAGGGCACGGGACATGGCTGTAAACCTACCTGGCATTGATGTTTCCTTTATTCTTCTTTTAGGGATGCTGCTGTGGCCAGCTAACTATTTAGGGGGTGGGGCAAAAAAGAAATAGTGAGCAGCAGACTTGCTAGTGAGAGAAAGTGAGAGAAGCCATCCACCCATCAGCTTCAGCGGTGGCTAATAGAGTTGTCAGTTGCCTG